AGAAAACAAAACAGGCAAAAGACTTGGTTGAATTAATCTTGGATTTCACCTCAACTTTGGTCTTTGAGTGTTCTCTCAGCAATATAGTTTGAACATAAGGTAATAATTTATTAAAATACTTTATAAATGTTACTTAATTTAGGTGATAATCCTATAAGGTAGTAGATATTGCTATACTCTATTTGTGTTTGAAAAAACTAGCTCATAGATTAAACAACTTGGAGGAGTCATGACAACAATAAATAGATCCAAGTCCTGAATCCCTAGGCAATCTAAGTGTAAAGCTCAAGTCTTGAAAATAACCAGATGCTCCTTCCCACTCATGCAGTTGTGGAAAGGGGCAGGTTTGGCAAGCCACTACTGGGGTTGTAGGACAGGAATATTAGAAATAAATTCAAAGACAGCTTATATATGCAATAATGTCCACTGCTTTCAATGACTGGTCTCTATTCAAAGGTCTAGCATTTGCTGCTCTTAAAAGTTCTATAAATTGCTCTATCTTGACCTACAGGAAGGGTGACTAAATTTAGTTATTAACCCCCCCCTCTGTGCCTGGGGGCTTTCATAAATTAAGATACAAACCATTCTTGTATCTGATCCTATGCAATACTTGGTTAGTCTACTTTGGGGCACTACAGCTATTTGAAAGTATTATGATTGTTTGCTTTAACAATTCTACAATGTAAAATTTTCACTTTTTTGTATTGATCATCCTACCCATTGATTATCTTGATTCAAGGACTCTTACTGCACTTTAATATTAGTAGAACAACACAGATCAACAGAAAAGAGCACAAAAGCAAAATGCAGGATCACACAGTCTATTTGCTTTGGCTCACTCTTTATCTTTCTCAGCACAAAAGGAGATTATAATCACAATTCTTGTATGAACTACTGCCAATCAGAATTAACAAGATTCAAATTCACTATGATTTGAGACATTATAAGTAATAGGATGCAAGTATTTTTAAGGCTATTATTAAAGTAGAACAGTGACTTATACTTCCCCAAGCCCTGATTATCTTTTCTTTTGTGTTAAGGGAAGGGTAGAGGGGGGAAGAAAGAGAGGAAAGGAGAAGGGAAAGAGGGAGGGAAGGAAAGAGAGAGAAGAAAAGGTAGGGAAAGAAACTTGCTTTGTTTATGCAGGTGACATTTTTTTTATTAATCCTTTTAATTATTAAAAATGTCCTTTTTCTCTTAAGTTCCCTATAAAATGCATTAATATACTTCTGAATTTATAGTTTATGGACAATAATTACTCAAGTATATGGATTGCACAGGTTAATTTCAGAAGTTTATTGAAAGGAAAAGAATTGTCAAGGGATAGCTTGGAAAGTTATTTATGATTAAGACGTCATGAAGAAACATTATTCTATGTTCACGTTTACAACCTTTCTGGTGGGTTAGCCATCTTTTGAGCCTATCTGAACCAGTTCAGTGGACATTACTGAATCTTGTGTTATACCTAGGTTTTTTCCCTCAGAGCTCTATTAACTGTCTCGAGTAGGTACAAAGGTAAAGAAGATAGACAAGACTGAGCTAAATGTAAATGATGGCCGTTTACAAAATCATGCCCTTGTAATCCTAGTGGAGACTGGTAAAACTGTGATTAGCCTGCACAGAAATATTTGAGAGACCCTATTTCATGTCATAGGTGGGTGCAGAGGTATTTGCCTGTCATCTTAAGCTATGAGGGAGACTGTGATCAGGAGGATCACAGTTATAGGCCAGCCCAAGCAGAAAAATCCACGAGACTCCATCTTGATGGCAGGAAGCTAGATACAGCATTGTATCCTTGCATCTCAGCAACATCAGGAAGCCTAAAATAGGGGGATTATAGTCCAGACACATGTCTGGCAGGAAGCAATACTCTTATCTCAGAAGCAACCAGTGGAAAATGGGATTGAATACATACATACTTAGCAAGCATGAGGCCTTGAGTTCAAACCTCAGTACTAAAAAAACGAATAAATAAAAAAAAACAACAAATATCTCTCCTAATTTGTGCTTGTGTATGACTGCTGAATGCTGAGAGAATGTTGGCTAGCTGAACAGCCTCATTAATTGATATCCACCATGTTCCTGGCAGTGAAAATGTGCTCATCTATTCATTTATTGTCAGCCGGCCACCTGGCAGGAAACGTCCCAGGTGTTTGAGACACCCATGAGCAAAAGAGATGAAAAATTTCTACCCTCATGGAGCTTCCATTCCCAGAGAGAGAAAAACAAATAAATGTAGGAAAGAAACAAAAATATAGTACAGTAGATGATATATCAGAAATGGTAAACGCTGTGGAGTAGATGGAGGAATCAGAGCTCAGGAGAAGATGGTTACAACTTTATTCAGGGAGAGCACCTGGAGATTATGACATCAGAGCAAAGAACAGAGGAGCTGAGGGGTCAGCCAGCCAGGCAACCACAGGGAATACCAAAGTAGACAGAGAAAAAGGCACCAGCAAAGGGCCAACAGTGGAATCAGACCTGGTCAAGAAGGCCAAAGTAGAGGGAGGAAGGGAGGTGAAAACAGTGAGTGTGTGTCTATGTGTGTTGTCCACACATGCACACATATGTACACTGGGGCAATAACAGATGTGTTAGAGCCACTATGACTGGCATTCTCCCTTGACCTTGATTCCTGGTGAGAACTGATCATTCCATCTACTTGTAACACCATCATGGTTTTGCCATGGACAAAAATAGAGGGAGCAGCCAGGCTCCAGTGGTCCATGCCTGTTAGTCGTTAACTACTCAGGAGGCTGAGATATGAAGACTGTGGTTCAAAGCCAGATGGGACTTTCAACTCTTACCTCCAATTAATCACCAGAAAACTGGAAGTGGTGCTGTGGATCAAAGTGGCAAAACACTAGCCTTGAGCAAAAGAGCCCAGGGACAGGACCCAGGCCATGAGTTCAAGCCCGACAACCAACAACAACAACAAAAAAAGAGGGAGTAACTACTAGAGCACTAAGATACTTCTTCAAAGGGAAAGAAGTATTGCACTTTCTTAATCACTGACCTGACATCCATGTGCTTTGCTAGCTCAGGTCTATAAGGGAGGATATACAGTCTCCTCCACTTTAATAGTATAACAGAGTGAATTTATTAGACCTGAAAAATCACCCTTGTCCCTTCTGGTAGCTAGGTCAGCTTCAGGGGAAACCGACAAATCACCAGATTTTTCACTTTTACAGTTCACAGATAACTGGGCTAAGTTAAACTTCTTTTACTCCATCAAAAAGCTAGGTTAAAACTTAAGAGGATGAAGTGTGCCTGTCAGGGGAGTGAATAGATACCCTGTATAGACGTGGAATTCTTGGATTCATTTGGCCTAGCTGTGCTTAAGAGATAAGACTTTCCAGAAAAGCATTCTTATTTCCTAACAGATTGTTGACGTACAAATCTATGGCACTGATTATTGCAGCTAAAAGAATGTCAAGAACTGAATAATCAAGCATTAAGTTACAAAGTTTAAAAGTTAATTCAGCAGCTCCCGGTACTTATATTAGTGCTTTAAGTAGATAAATTAAATTGAAATGTGTCTCTTAAGCAGTCATTGAACAAGCAAGATGAGAAATAAATTGAGCTTCACTTCGGCCTTTATGGCATCTAACAACTGTGTCTGTCAACACACGGATCCTTTTCACTGTCAATTCAGCACACATTTTGCAGACCTTGGGCCTGCAATTATTTCATTTCCTTCTTGGAAATGTAATTTCCACTTACTTTTGGAGAATAAAAGGCAGACAAAAGGAAGGAAAGAGTTGTGGTATTTTCTGATTAAGATTATCTGTGTAAAATGGTAGAGGAAAAAAAATCTATACACATACACACCGAAGCATTTCTCAGAAAACCAACTTGTCTCAGCCAAATTGCTTTTGTGTCTGGATATTGGTTCAAATGCAGCCAGATTGTTGATGTCAAATTAGGTGTTAAACAAATTTAATAGGAAAGATGAAGAATGAATATAGATCATCTTCCTGTTAGAACTGTGCAAATAGCTGCAGTCAAAAGAAAGGAAGCCCATGACTGCAGGAGAAAATGTGCTTTTAAACACAATGAAATTAGATAAAACTAAATCAGCAAAGAAGGCGGAAAAAGTTAATAGTACCAATAGAGAGAAAAGCAAGAGAGCAAGAAAATACCCGTTGGTAAAAATAGAACCAAATTGAATTTCAATGTCATTTGTCCAAGTTGTACCTTTTAAGCTCTTCAAGACATCCAAAGCTACAAAAAAAAAAAAAAAAGCAGAGCAGGGTGGGGGGCTCTTTCTCTCTTGACAGAACAGGAAATTTAAGGTTTAATTAACTGTGATTACAATATTCGGCTGATCTGATTTGTCTCACCTCTTCCTTTTCTTGAAGTGACAAACTAGCTGATATCCTGGCAAGAGAACTAAAGCTCAAGTGTAGACTAATTTAAAAAGGAGCTTGCCATTGTTATAAAACAAATTGATCCTCCACTAGACCTGTCGGAAACACGTTTCACTGCAGGATTAACTCTGACAAAGTGCCACTTTGGAAGAGGGTCTGTGTAAATAATTCTTTACATAGTATGTTTCCATTCTCAGGATCCAGCAATATGAAGGCACATCTTTCACAGAGAAACAGAAAGTAAACTTGAACAAAGGTCCCCTCCAAAGTAGTGTGAAGATCTAGTACCTACTCTGGCGGCTCAGGGACCATTAAGGAATGATCTAATAAGCATTTGACTTTTCAGACTTAATTGTTTTCTGATGCAGAAGGGCGGCTCTTTGTGATGAAGGAAAAGAAAATGAACAAACTAGTTTAGGGGAAGGGATTCTCTTTAGACACACTATGTGCTTTGAATCTCAAGGGCAGCTCTGAGCTAGAAGTTTAGAAGCAGGAGCTGGCTCATCAAAGGAAGAAGAGTCTTGGCTAGCCAAATCAAAACCTCTTCCAAGAGAAACAAACCAAAGCAATACAGGTTAGTCATGACAGATTTCTTCTACATACTACTTAATAAAGAGCATCATTACTTACTGAAATGTAACCTTGGAACTTGTGCATCCTTCCAATTTATAGGACCCTTCACCTGGCTCAGGTGTTAGAGGGGCCGGGCTGTTGAATTCTGCCTCCAGAGTTTTCTTGTTCAAGGCTGTTTTTGTTACACTGGATACAGAACCCAACACTGGCATGGATTTAGACTCTGACGTGGCTAATATCCCGGTAGGACCTTAAAACCAAACACATACCTGAAGTTTAATAATTCGGCGTGATGCTTATTAATATGACACTGAAAAACATATTAGCTTGGAAAAAAATCCCTCAAGAAGTGAAAAGGCCAAGTTTGTTAGAAATTTCAAGAACATGCTGGAAAATGTCCCTACTAACAACCTGCTCAGCTTGGGGGACACTACTACATTTTCAATGCACCCCAGCCATGCTGAGATTGTGCACAGACCTTTTAAGAAGCCACAGAATATCAGGCTAGGGGTCCCTCACTGGCCAGAGTCCTTTGCAAAACTGGAATTGTGGGAATTCTTTTCTTCTCCCAGAATGTGGCTCTCTGACAACCCTGCTTGAACCATTTTGCCTCTCAAGAGTTAATTCTTCCTCAAACTCAGCTCCGCATTTGAAACAGAAAATGGACCAATGTCAAAAGGTTCTTTTTAAAAGGCTCATGAAGGCTTCTTGAGCATTAAACAGCTTTTATGAACATTTTCATTTTAATGTGAATGAGAAGTAAGTGGATTTATTGCCTCTTAAAATACAGACACAGGATTATAAAAATTAAGTGGCAAAAGAGTTTGGCTGTTTACCTTTTGGACTTTCTCTGCTCTTTGGACAGGATTTGAAAACTACAATAGGGCTTGTTACTGAAATTATTGGCATTCAGTCTAAAAATCCTGGTCACTACAACTAGATTCTTTGTGACTTCACTCTACTTTTAGGCACAAAGATTCTATCCAATATGATAGGTTTCAAAGTGAGATTCGAGTAGATCTGCCCTGAAACTTCAGGCCTGCTTCGAGAGTAAATAAATCACAAATATACAAATTAAATTCCCCCTAAAAAAGTTAGGGGACAACCTTGAAAGGGGCAGATCATCTCCCAAGACAGTTTTCTAGTTGGTAATACAATCCAAAATGTATATAGTTCTGGAATTTGATTCTCACGTTTACCTCTGTATGTGACTGATACCCTACTGGGGCGTCAATATGTGAATTCTGGAAAATCAAATTTGAAAAACTACCTAAGAGAGAGAGGAAAATCGTCCCTCTGCTCTGTTGAACACCTTCCCCCCCTCCCACTCCCCCCCCCCTCCGCTCAGGCTGACTCCATGTGGAAGAACCAGAACCCTTTCAGTCTGGTGAAAAACCCAGCCCACAAAGCACCCATGTTTGACTTCTTTCCTACCTTCATCTATGCTAGAGGGCTGGCGGCAGATTTGTGACACTACTTAATGTTCTGTTTAAAAAGGCTTTTACTTCTCAGCTATGGAGAGCCTCCAGTTGCATGGGGGTACGAGAGTAAAGAGAAGGAGAGGTGAAGAGAGCAAGCTCCCAGACATAGATGTGAAGTCAAGTTCAAGACTGGCTTCAGCTCAGCTCTGTTATGCCTGGGTTAATTGTTGACCACAGTACTAGATAGCTTGAAAGAATCCTGTAGGAAGGAAAGGCAAGAGATCTTGTTCTGCAAATAGGGCCAATTAAAAAGAAGGGAGAGCTGGGAGCTGAGTCAATGCTGTCGTTTTTCTTATAGACATAAAAAATAAAAATACATAATGTCTGAGGATATTACTTCATCCTGCTTGTGGTACCTGGTATTTTCTAAGAGGCACCTGCTACTCTTGAAGATAATAGTTTGGCAGGCCTGAGGCTAGGTAAAGCAAACTAACATCACTTAGACCTAGAAAAAAACTGAACAACACACAAAAATGCGTCATCCCTGGCCTCTGGGCTGATAACCTGGGATTTGAGCTCATAGCTCAGATTGCCTCTCTTATGATCCCTCTTATAAGCCTAGCATAGGAAACAATCTTGGAGGTCCAAGTGCAATGAGGCACAAATCTATCCAGCACTCATAATGGACTCTTGCCATGCAACTAACAGCCTTTTGCTCTTCCCTTCTCTCCCTCTAGAATTCTCACTTTTTAACCTCATGGCCTTTAGAGAAAGATCCACTAAATGGCTCCTCCAGTTTGTTGCTGGGAAAATGTCTACATGACCAACAATACAACCAAAACATGGTCTGATTTCTAGATGATAAGAGAGCTGGATCACTTGTTTCCTTTAACTGCAGCTATTAGAAAGCTCAAAGGAAACTTCTGCTCAATTGTAAGTTACTCTTTCAGTAGGCACTTCCTGTCTGCATTACCAAAGACAGTTCTTACTGTATTCGTGTACTAATGGTTCTACTGAATGTATGTTATCCTCTAACGTCCCTCAAGTGATGCACTGAATATGTATGTATATTGGTGGAATAGACAAAGGTAAAATGAGAGATTCTTACCATGCTTCTAAAATGTATTTCTTTCTCCACTCCTAGATTTATTCGTATTTCTTTTACTGACTAAAATGAAAATGTGTCCACATGTCTTCTACTGAAAATCACCTCTGAAACAGTGAGTGTTATACATGTTTGACCAACTTCATTAAAGTAAGAATGGTGCTGGAAGAATGGAAGGTTCCACTGCCAGACACATGTAAAAGACATGGCACTAAAATGTTATCTACAAAGTCCTAAAAATGATCCGAACTTAAATGATGGGAAGCTGGCCTTGAGCCAGGCACCAAATGAATGGTGATTCATAGGGAGTCTTCTGGTAACTGCAAAGCACTCAGCAAGATACAGGGGTAAGGGGCTACCCCTTTCAATGTCCTTAGAGGTGGTTATTTGGGGGTGGGGAGAAGAATCCTTATAAAACTTTAACACAATTTGCAAGCCAACCTAAAAACTGAACAACTGATAAATGAAAACAAGGCTTTCATATTTTTTGTAATGCAAGTTGGGCTTGGTATTTTCCTGATTTTGATTCAAGGAACATACTATTTATTCAATCATTTGTATAGCAAGATGCACATCATCACAGTAACATCATCACAGACAAGAACTTGATGATAAAATCCCAGATTTTGCCATTCTAGTGACTTAAATCTGGTCAACATGAATCAGTAATCTGCAGATTTCAATAGATGCAATGGACTAATTAACTGAGTTGTATCTAAGCCATCTCTGCTGGCCAACAGCTTTTCAAAGCCAAACTTCTACCTGGAGACAAGAGGAAAATCTCATAAAGGGGTCTGCTAATTTACCTGATGAAACTTCTGAAAGCATCAGAAGCCACACAAACTCTGTTCTAGAGCAGATTCTGAGTCTGTGATACCATTAACAAAACTCAAGATGCTGTGAGCTCAGGCCTGTGTAGGTAGTGGAACCTTTCTTATGCAAACTCCTTTCTAATTCAATCTCACTATTTTTAGTGAAATCAAAAATACCCACCCATGTGGTCATTGGTTCACAGGCAGAGCCACAAACTAATGGATGAAGAGTAAGATTTCTTTCTTCACATTTGTAACTGAAATGACTGATTAGGTATGGTGTGCTTATTCTATGTTAGTACTTTCCATGTATTGACTGAATCCTGAGAATAATCCTATGAAGCAGTGCTTTTATTATCTTCACTGGAAAAATAAGGAAACTGAAGCAAAAAGAGATTGAGTAATTTGCTTAAGGACAAGCACAGAGTAAATGACAGAGCCAGTATTCAAACTCAGTCTACTTCCAGAGTCTGCATGTGATATCATGTTGTGGCCCACATCCACCTGGAATGTATTTATACTGGAGTATCTCACAATAAACAAATCAGAGCTTTAAATGCCTACTTAGCTGAAAATAGAAACTTTAAACATCAACAGATAAAATTTGTGAGAATTTTTGTTAGTTGTCCATCCTGAGCACTCTTTGCCCACCCAATACTTGTCATTCACATTAAAAACAAAACATTTTGGTAACAATCTTTCAAAGGTAATTTTGTGTTAAAGAAGGAAGCGTCTTAAAGGAAGAGGTGTCCGAGATGAAGAGAACTGTGGAGAACATAAACCGGCTTACTACTGCTATCTGCTTCTGCCGTCACCTTTCTGCGACGCAAAATCCTTTCTAACTCAGTTTCACTGTTTTCAGGGTCAAGGGATTTTAAGCTTCTTGAACTAGTGGATTTGTTAAGTGTCCCCTAAAGTGAAAAACAAAACAAAACAAAACAAGAACAAAAAGGTTAATATGCAAAAGAATATAAAATGCAAAACAACAAAACATCAGAATTTGAACAGAATTAAGAAACAAAACAAATTTGCTCTATATTAACATATATGCCTAATTTAAACAGGCGCATCCTTGACAAAACGATGTGAAGGATCATTTAGGAAGATGCTACTAATGGTGCAGGCACTAGCTTCATTTCTGAAGAGCGGTACTGGAACACTTTTGATGAGCTTGATCCTAAGAGACTCATCAGTGGGAAGACACTAGGTCCACTGACGCTGTAAATTCTGATGTGTAATGTTCAGATGGAGAAGAAAGTGGATATATTAAACTCACCTTAGAAGGCTGTCTTGAAATGGTAGCCATGAGCTACTGAACCAACTCCTTGTGGCTGAAAGAGCGGGACCCTGCAAACCTAGTGACAATGGTAATATAGCTGCAAGGGAGGCATGTAATAATGGTCTCCAGTGGCAGACCCAAAGAAAGGCCACATCGAGTATACCTTAACTTCCCTGAGGAAGAGGAACGTTATCATCAGACAGGTTGACCTCTGATTCTGTATACCTACCAGAGGAGACATGAATATTCTATTCGGTGCCCAGAGGACACTGAAGGAAACAAGGCAATGAAACTGTTCTTGGTTCCAAGAAGAAAAAGACCCAAGCTGCAGTTCCCTTCTGGCCCCTCTGGAAGCAGGTGACAGAGAAGAACTATGGCCTCCTTCTCCATTTCTAGTCAAGTGTTTCTTCAGAACATGGTGAAACACTTTTCCTCAACTAGATGTAGAGTTTCCACATTCTTTCTCAAGTCTGTTCTAAGAAATGTCCATGATTTCTTTGAAATGCTCCTTGGCTGTGCTGCAGGCTCAGGAGCAGGGGCAAAAGGAGCACTATAATCTCCTAGCTGCAGGATATAAGAACTTGAGGTCTCGTATGACTTGCCAGGCTTCATGCCAGGATGAGAAGGTGGCTTTCATCCAGCAAGGCTGACAAGTACTCTGTACTATGGACCTGGCTTATGACCTGATCCCTTATGACCTCTGCCAGCTTCCAGAAGGATTCCAAGAATCCTACTCACTAGAAACGGTAACCAAATCCTTTAGCCTACAAAACAAAAAAAAGTTCTTACAAAAATCTCATATGGGATAGTTTATGGTATTGTTTTATATGTCATACTATGAAAGCCTATTTTATAATAGGGAGATCATTTTGGTTTATTTCACATTGCAGGTCTGAAGTTACTCACTGAAGAGATACAATGAGGAATGATTATCACAGACAAAGAAAACAGCACAGCTACTTTAAGTAAGTAGATAAATAGATAAAAGAATGTATTAAAACAACCATCCCCCTAAGGACCTGTATTTACAACTTTAAAAAACTTACCATTTGCATTATTTTTAAGTAGATATTAAAATTATTTATTTTGCCAATTCTGGGGCTTGAATTCTTGGTCTTAGTGTCTATGTTCAAGGCTAACACTGTATCACTAGAGCCACAGTAACACTTCCAGCCTTTTGTGAGTATTTTATTGGAGATAAGAGTCTCACGGACTTTCCTACCCAGGTTGGCTTTGAACCATGATCCTCAGACTCCTCAGACTCCTGAGTAGCTAGGATTATAGATGTGAACCACCAGCGCCTGGCTGATATTTTTAATTTTTTTAAGGTTATCATTATTAATAACATATAAAACTGTTATTCTGTTTAACTCTCAAATCCACTATGCAATCCACCTTGCCCCAGCCCCCAATCCCAATGTGGAATTAATCCAAGGAAAAGTTAGAGGATACCCTCTACTGATGAATTTATCTTTTACAATGTTCCCTAGTTTTCTACTTGGATAAAAGAATCATCTTCCCAAATTTCTGACTATGGTGAGCTGTCCTCTTGTTGCACAGGACACTGAAGCAATTCATCCTTCAAGTCCTAACCCCTGAGTCCCAGCTTCTTTCTTCCTTTAATTGTGGTTGGCTCAGTAATATTGGAGTAACTTTAAATATATAAGCAATTGTGGAGGAAGGACAGAAAGACTTCTGTGGGACTCTCAGCTGGAATGATAAAGAACTCAGCTAACAGAGTAAGAAGCTCTCAGTTATCTGTTTACACTAGAATCGTAAAATATAAGAATCGGAAACTGACTGACACCATAGGGTAGATGCATACCATTTCTTCACTTCCCAGAAAGAACTCAAACTCAGTGACTCCCATAAAAGACTGGGCTGATTTACCATAAGTGTGTTATGGTAAATCAGTGATAGGGTTGCACCTTGAACTTGGATCTAATTCTCAAACCAGTACTGTTTGTATTCAAACTGTCTGTTTTCATGCTTGCCAAATGTTCATGAATCAAACTGATGTGGGAGGGGGATGAGAATATGTGTAAAGCAGATTTTGTTTCTTTAATTTAGCACCAACTGAACTTAAAGAGAGACTTTTAGATTAAGTTATGTCCATTTTTTAAAGGGGGTGAAAAGTACTGTTTCCCCTTAGATTGGCTCAATTTCTAAATCTCAAAAGCTTGGTCTGACTAAAAACACTACACACACATGCATGCATACATACACACACACATAATTTGCAAAATACATAGCTTTAGAAGTAGAAATTTGGGAGGAAAATGAGTTCAGACAACATTTACACCTTCAAAGCTGGCTTGAAAACTATACAACTAAAAAAATACAGTAGAGTTTTCTAGTTCCTCCCAATCAGCTATTCCTAGGTATGTACAAATGCTGAGCAGCAGGCCAATCTCTACCTTTGCCTGGGCTCACATTCATTCTCAGTAAAAATACTCCTCTCTGAACTGCCTCCTGGTGTTTGCTTTCCAGGAAAACTAAGCACATGGCTCTTCCTGCTGGTTCTCCATTTCTTTCTTTCTTTCTTTCTTTTTTTGTCGGTCGCGAGGCTTGAACTCTGGGCCTGGGCCCTGTCCCTCAGCTCTTCAGCTCAAGGCTAGTGCTCTACCACTTGAGCTACAGCGCCACTTCCTGGTTCTCCATTTCTGTATAGAACTTTATTACTGGTCTGCCACCCCTCAAGAAAAATTTCTATTGAGGTAATGGAGAGGTGTCAATTGGTAAAGAAGAGTAGGGAGAGGATCATAAATTCCACTTAAACAACAACAAAAAAAGCAAAATCTTTAATGCAAAGAAATAACATTGCTAGGATAATAACTACTGGTGATAATATCAATGCTAGGTTAAGTAAATAATTTCCTGTTTATCTCCTTAAAGTGATATAAAATTACAGTGAAAGTGATTATATTTAAGAGTAACATTGGAGCTGGAGGTGTAGGTCAGTGATAGAACTAGCCTAAGCATGTGCGGTCCTGGGTTATACACAGGCACACAAGCACACACAGCACACATGCACACAGAGTAAAGCTGAGTTAATAAACCTGCCACCAAGGATCATGAGGAGGCACTGGAGTATTTTGCATAATCAAGTATTGTAATATGAACGTCATAAACGCATCTGATTTGCTAAGTGAACTAAACTCATTACTGTTTACTTTCACTGCTGAGTAGAGCAGCTCTTCAGCACCTCGCACAGCCCCAGGGGACATCTTCATCAACATGAATTAGCATAACAATGCCAAGGCAACAAAAGGCGCTGTCAGAGGGAGTGCTCCTTAACTCAACACTGGATAACAAAAATCTTCTGATCACAGAATCCATTAGATAATAACCACATCCTCAGGCAATGGTTTTAATCCTTGTTTCTGTAGGTAGACCACCACTGTTAGCCAGTGATATACCCCTCTTCAAGGCTAATCCCACTCACTTAAAAACTAAAGCAAACTAATTAAGCCATTCTGAGCTAAGTCTACTGTTTAAAGACATGCTTGATGAAAATAATTTTGTTTACCATCATTATGTGGATGTCTCTGTACAATGCATAATTAGCACAGTAACAACAAACAGGGGAGTATTTAGTCCTGTACCTCCGCCCCCATGTTTGTTGACTTACTGTGCATAATAACTGGGGTTGGACTGGAACAGGGACTGAAAATAGAGCTCAATGTCTGAAGCACTTCCTACATGAGGGCATTTGTCTCTGAGGGCGACTGCTGGAGAGGGCAGCCACTGGCCAAAGCTCCCATTTGGGAAAACAGAACTAAGACCATAGAGATGGACATTATGCCCATTCTCTAGTGGACAAGAGTTAGCTTTAGCAAATGAAACGGGGGGGGGGGGGGGCAGAAGGGAAGGGGGGGGGGGGAAGGAGAAGAAACGGGGGGGGGGGAGGGCATAAGGGAAGGGACTCATTTTATCCTCTATGTTCTCATCAAAGGATTTTTCAATTGTGAGAAAAGTGGACATGACCCTGAGAGGTCCACACTCTGGGGTGGGGGTGGAGGGCAGCTCAGCTTTGCATGTTTCAAAATCTACTGTCATGTCTCAAAGGAAAACACTATTCATCTCTTATAGCTCTGTTATTCACACACGCTGATCGATCTGCACATATGGCCAGACACTTGACCTTGATGCTGCAATGCCAGGATTTTAGGGCAAGAATAGGAAGCAAGGACTTCATTTCACAATAGAAACAATTCTTTTAGAATAGGAACAGCAATGTGTTATATGTTATTAGCATAGGACAATCAAATAACAATGACTTTAATTGTAAATAGAAACACCAAAATCAATTATTCAGGAAAAAAAAAGAATATTCTTTTCATTTCCCCATTAAGTAAATAATAAACCAGCATTAAATCTTACCAGTATTCCTTTTAGTTCATTCACTGCACTTTCACAGCCTTTCGAGGATTCTGGCTACAATTTTAAAAACAAAACAAGTTACTGAGTAATTCAGGTTGAAAATGAACCCCAAGAAAATACTAGAGATTTTTACAGCAAGTAGTTTTCTGTCTAAAATTTGGAAAAAAATCTTAGCCATGTAATTGTACCCAAGTGGTAGATGCATAGGAAATCAGAACCTTTTTTTTTTCCGGTTGGTAGTGACCTTGAACTCTAGGCCTGGGCACTCAAAGAGAGTGCTCTACCACTCGAGCCACAGCACAAATTAGAACTTACATTCAAAGCAGAGGACTCATGCTACCTTCTAAATATTATATTTTTAACCTCATGGTTATCATCTTAGATGGAAAGGATTTAGTGAACACCAGATTTTAAAGATTTGATCTCAAATTATTCAGCATTCTTCGTAATACACTGCCCTCCATTGGTATGGTTGATTTCTGTCAACAAGACAGGTAGAGAGTGGGAATAGCCCAACTAAAATCAAGTGGTTGGCCCAAAACTCTCTGGGCTCCATTAACTCCAGGAAAAGGCCAGAGACAAGAGACCTGCAATGTCTTGATTCAGAAAATTCATCGTATGATCAAGTGGGAGAAAACAGGCTGGGAAGATCACAGACTGCAGGAGGATGTTAGCATCCTGGGCTGGCCGAGCACTCAAGAGCCTCATGGAGATGCAACCTGAATATCTCATGGAGAAAAGTCAGAAATGAGGAAGGGAGATTGGGGGCAGCAGTCTGTAGTGTGAGCCCAATTCACATGTGACTATACCAAGAACAAAAAAAATAACTTCTAATAAAATGGTGGTAATCTCTGCCATGTTTAACAATTTCTGTGGGTCTGCTGGGAAGCAAATGGAGCCTGGGGCCTCCATGAGGAAGTAACTGAAGGCAGACCTCTGATCTCCCCTGTGCTACTTTCACAAAAGACAGAGATGAAGAAAAAACGAGCAGGACAGTGACATGAGCCACTCCTTCCCCAAAGAGAGATAGGGTGAGATTTTTTTCCTCTCCTCCAGCAATGGGGAGCAACCAATAGCAACCCATGACCATTTCCTCTCAAAAAATAACACAAGACTATGATTCTATTTCAGCATTTTTAAATGAAGATAGAGGAAAAATTAGGCTAAGGTATTTAACTTTCATAGCCTCATCTGTAAAATGCACATGAACACTCCCGACCCTGCTCCCCCCACCACAGAGAGTCATATGCAACATCAACCAGGCCAGCTCCACCCACAACATCAAGGAATTGAGAACACATGCCTTTCTATCAGCCCTCACAAGGCACCCTTGACTTCTGTGGGTAAACTGGCCAGGTAACAAGGTGAACTTTGAGCAAATGCCATGCTTTCTACGATACTCAAAGCCGTGCCCTCAAGCTGCCCTGACTGTAGCAGCCTCGACGCCTGGACCACATCCTCCCATACGGTGACACTTTAGGACAGCACAGAGTTGGGGGGGGGCAGTCTGCACTCAGGCATGCAGGGACCTTTTCACTCAACACTACATCTACCGTGTTTAATGATTACCAGTGAAAAACCCAGTCGTCCACTCATCCTTGTTCAGTTGTTTTCTGGATTTTGAACTGGCATTAAATAAGGTGTGACTGTGGAAGGTAGGGCAAGAAAGGAAGATGACAGAGTGATGCTCTGGAAATGAAAAGCACATATAGAACGCTGACTACTTATGGTTGACATTTCCAACAGCCTTTTCCTCTGAACTAATTTCTTTTGGACACTACATTTCTCTCTGGTAATAGTTTGGTTTCACTTATTCTTTCTATAATCGTTGAGTCATGGATGTCATAAAAAGTGTATTCGTTTGCAAAGTGGCACTCACACCTTACATTCTAAAGTGTTTTTATACTTCATTCAATTTGATCCTGACAAGCCCATGAGTCAGACAGGGCAGGTATTCTCCTCAACTGCACAGGAAAAAGTGGAGGGCAGCTGCTGGTACTGCCGGAGCACTAACCCTCCCACAGGACTCACCCTTCTTTCAACCTTGTGTACTGGATCATCCTCCTAGCCTCCCCCTGGTTCCATATCCTGTGGCTCCACATCCTGTGGTTCCACGTTCTGTTCTTTGCCTAGAACATGGGCACACACTGACCTACTCTATTTGGCTGCTCAAACTTCTGCCTCAAACATTAAGTCTGCTCTTGGAGTTGAGCATCCATTCCTTCTTTCTTTGCAGTCTCCTTTGCATAGGACATCCCACACCATGGCCACTCCCACTTTGCCTGGTTATCTGGCCTGCCTATGCAGGGGAAAAGTAGCAACTTTCAAAGGACACCAGAAACTTCCATAAAATAGTGTAACATGGAGAGACAGACATTTAAGAAGTTAAAGAGGGATGGAAAGCACTAAGTATGGTTTAAGAAAAAAAAAAGGAAAAGAAGAAAGAGAACCAGTTTGTTCCTACAGGATTAAAGTGAACAAAGAAAAAAACTGTAATGTAATTTGTAATGTAATCTAGTCAGGAGTCAGTGGCTCACAACTGTAATCCTAGCTACCAGGGAGGCTGAGATGAGAAGATAGTGGTTAAAGCCTGGTCAAGGCAGAAAAGTTCCTAAGAAATCTTCTCAATGAAGAGCTCGGTATAGTGTATTGCACCTATCAACCCAATTACAATGGGAAGTGTAAATAGGAGAAGTGTAGTCCAGGCACCCACCTGGGCAAGAAGGAAGACTCTCTTTCAAAAATAATAGCACAGAAAAGAGCTGTAAGCATGTGTCAGCAATAGAGAACCAGTATAGCAAGCTTGAGGGTCCTGATTCCAACTCTATTGTGTCAAAAATTAAAATGCCATCTTAGTTCTGTCATTTCTATACCAATCTGTTCTGCCATTATTATATGACACCCTCACCAAACCTCTTAAAGCCTCAGGGAAGCTTTCTATCCTGCTTGCTTCCATGTGCCCAGTACTTGGCATGGAGTAGTTGGTAGAATCACATAACCAATAAGGAATCAGAAAAGAATGGACGTAACAATTGTATGCTGCCTGCTGGAAGAGATTCGCTCAGTTCCCTTTGGAGGTGCTATCAGCACTTTGGGTAACATGATATATTTTCTTTTAGCTTAGGTTTGCCGTGGTTGTCAAACCATGCCCTTCAGAAACCTACTTCTGTAGAGGTGAAAGCTTTTATGACACCTTTATGGCAGTCCAGTTGGAGATTTCATCAACTTTCAAATTATTACATTTAAAGAAGGAAAAACCAAGGGGAGGAAAAAAAATCTAACAGTCATTACCAACCTTTGTCTTCGGTCTGGTAGTCTGATTAACAGGTCTAAGATGAACTCCCTTTTTAATTCTATCCATCATCTCTTCAACTGCTTGCCTCTTTAGATCCGTGACTTCCTCAGCTGTTTAAAGAACATATACATAAATCATCTTAGGTTACAGAAAAACAGCTAATTCCTATTTTTGGTGGCTTAGAGAGATTGTACTATATAATTAATCATAGTAATTTCTCAGACAGTTGCAGAACACCAATAATTTACCAAGGTTAACAGCTACCAGGTGGCAACACTTTTGAAATAATTTGTTTTTAAGAATAAAAGATCTGCTCAGACAAATAGTTTTAACAATTAAGGTCAAATTTGGATCATGGAGTATTGTCTCATCTATGTTTAACAAAGCCAATTTTGTTCATTAACAAAAGAATAAACTGGATAATATTCAGGTCTTAAAAATACAGCTTTTGGGCTGGAATGTGGTTTGTCTAGCATGCATGAAGCCTTGGGTTCAATTCCTCAATACCACATAAAAAAAAAAGCCCAAAGTGGCACTGTGGCTCAAGTGGTAGAGTGCTATCCTTTAGCAAAAGAAACTCAGGGGCAGTGCCCAGGCCCTGAGTTCAAGCCCCAGGACTGGCAAAAAAAAAAAAAAGGTGGCTCATGTCTATATTCCTACCTCCTCAGAATGCTGAGATTTGAGGAGGGCAGTTTGAAGCCAGTCTGGGCAGTAAAGTCCATGAGAATCTGATCTCCAATAAACTAAAACAAAAAAACAGAAAAACAAACAAAAAAACCCCACAAAGAACTGGAAGTAGAGTTTTGGCCCAAGTTGTAGAGCAGCCTTAAGCAAAAAGTAGTTCAGAGCCAGGTACTAGTGGCTCAGACCTGTAATCCCAGCTCCTCAGAAGGCTGAGCTCTGGTAAGCCAGGTCAGGTAGGAAAGCCCAAAAAACCATTCCAATAAGCTACTCAGAAAAGCTAGAAGCACTGTGGCTCAAGTGGTAGAGGGCCAGCTTTGAGAAAAAGAATTGCGGGGATTAGTGCCCAGGCTGAGTTCAAGCCTCAGGACCAGCACCAAAAAAAAAAAAAAAAAATCCCAGGGACAGCACCCATGTCCTGATTTCAAGCCCCAGGACAAGAGGAAAAAAATTCAGCTTTGTTCCTTCTCAAATAGTCAATTCTTCCTATCCTCAGAGATACTGTTAGGATTTATAGTATATCCTATGTCAAAGAAATCAATCCATAGCTTATTTGAAAAAAAAAAGAGAGACATCAAAGAGATGTTTTCTGATTAGAAGAAATCCATAGTCAAAGTCAAATTAAAAAATAGGGGAAAAATCTGTTTTTAAAATGGCATCTTTTGTCTAAGAATCACACATAGAGGGAACATTTAAACAAATCCTTTGTAAGTTAAAATTGGACATGTTAAAAAATACATCCAGCAATAATTGAAATTAAGTAATTAAATGTGATTAAAAATTTCCACTATTAGTTTGAGGATGTAGCTCAGTGGCAGAGCACTTGACTAGCCAGTGCCTACATCAGTCAGGCCCTGAGGCTCCATCCCCAACACCAACCAACCGAAGGGAATTTCATCCACTAAGTGCAGTCTATTGTATAGCCTTTACTGCCCAAATAAATAAGAAAACAAATCAAGCTGCTAAGATGCATATCAAATAAATGCAATGGACCTACATCTAAACCTATTCATCAGAATAGTCCTTTCTTGCAGAATAGCTCAAGCAAAAACACAGAACCATTCCAGAACATGTGTCACCAGTTAGATCTTGCATTGAACATCACCTGAACTCACTACAGATCATATGTTTCAGTCTGAATATCTAATAAAGACCTTCCAATTAGTATCTAGTATATTTCCCATTACCTGGCATACATATAATGGACACTCAGCAAGTATCTATCTACTGACTGATTTGTGAAGTTCGGGGCTTTAAATGGCTATGAAGTTGCCCACGGTCTCAGCAGCAAAAACCTATCTGGGCCTCTACATGGAAGTAACCACAACTGCATCCCCAAGATAATTAGCACCAGTGTCAGGTTTTGTATGACAGAGGCTCAATTTTTGGTTTCCTTTCCACAGAAGATTTAACACTGATTCTGGATAGGTATTCCACTTATACAGGTGTCTAGAGGAACATTAACAGAATTCAGAAGTTTCCATTCTCCTCACCTCTGTAGCACACCACAAAGAAGGGGCCAGCGCACAACCCGGGTCTTCTGATACGGTCCTGACTTCAGAGAAAGTTGTCATCCTCAGAAGCCAATGGAAAGCTCAGAACTCAAACTTCTCAATATTCAAACAAGTCAACAAACTATCTTTTGCCAGATAATAGGGGAAATGTGGTCAACAATGTTCAAACTCATCTCCCAGTAAACAAAAGATGACAAAGCCTTAAATTGGCCAACTGTGTGGCCTTAAGTAGCATTTGTTCAGGTGGCTCTGATGATTCACAAATATCAACAGGGGGACAGACAAATCCATCCATCCATCCATCCATCCATCCATCCACCCATCCATCCATCCATCCACTTATTCAATAGCTGAATATCTATTGTACTCTACATAGCACTCTGGCCGATTCTATTCAAAATCAGAGGAGATAGAATCCAGATCTGCTGCTCAAGCAGCTGGTATGGGGATGAGATTTATTCCTGGGAATTGAGAAAATCACTTCAAAACACAGTTGCTTTTTTTCCAGAAAGGCTGCCATTTTGAGTGAACTAGGAAGAGCAGCCTGGGCAATAGGAACACCGCCTACAAACAGATTAGCCCTCTGTAAGGAATGACGGGAACCCAATTAAATGCACCATACAAAAACTAATTAAGGCAGACAGATGGAGAATTATGGTCAACACCATTCAAATCTGCTACAGCATCTAACATAGTAGGAATTTAAAGTAGTTTCTTATATTTGCTTGCCAGAATCATAGTGATAATTCAGAGAAGTGCCACTATCTGTATTGTGTACAGATTATAAACCAGGCTTTAATTTCCCAGTCTTTTTCAAATGTAAAGGCTTAATTGGTCTTAAGGAAAAGAAATCACTCTTATCAGATTCCCTACTTGGGCACCAAACAAGGGCAGCACTAGGTTAGCAACATAAGCTTTCTGTCTCTCCTAGACCCTGTTTTTGAAATAGCAAAAAGCAATCTATATGAACTTCTAAACTATTAAGCAGTTCTAATAAACTGGCGAGAATCACCTACAGAGAGCTCATGGTATGTTTTGTAATTCTTTCTGCAATCAGGCAGTTGGTAATTGTCTCACAAAAGCATGTAATCAGGGGGACAATAGAAATATGCAGGATACTGCAGATTAAGGAAAGGGGACAAATGAAGACAACAGGTCTAATGTTATTGAACTGCCAGGAGAAAATAAAATCAAATGTTCTCGGAGCTAGTGCTTCAAGGTCAGTCTTGGATCAAAAAGCTACATGTAATTAATTGGGGTTTAAATTTTAAGACCCACTTGAAAAATAAGTTCCTCTAAAAAAAAAAAAAAACCAAACCCACCACCAAATCTACAAAGAAAACCATCACTTTGTTACTTAATAAAATCTAGAAGAAACTGAATTTCTAAACCATAGAATTACCTTTCTCTTTTACTAACTTTAAAAACAAAAGGTATTTTAAAACTATATGCCATCACGATGGAAAGAATTTCAAAGGTACTATATATGTTTAAGTATGTTTCAATTTCAGTGATAGTCTTAAAGAAAATTTCTTTTTTTTTTTTTGTCAGTTGTGAGGCTGAACTCTGGGCCTGGGCACTGTCCCTCAGCTCTTCAGCTCAAGGCTGGTGCTCTACCACTGGAGCCACAGTGCCACTTCCAAGAAAATTTCTTTAACTACAATGCTGAGGAAGCATGCTGGAATGAAGTCCCTCCTTGACTCTAACAATGGGCAGCTGGTACCTTACCCACTTTTTAGCCAGTATTTTGAGTGTTTTCTGTGTGCTAGGTCCTACTGTAAACACTTTTCAGATACAATAGGTCTTCCTTATTTGCAGAGGATATGTCCCAAAACCCCAGAGGGTACCTAAAACTTTGAATAATAACAACCATCCATGTACAATGTTCTATAGAATCTTCTACACTAACATACTTCTGTTCGTGCTTATTTACTTGTGATAGTCTAGTTTATAAACAAGGCACAGTAAAAGCTTAATCATAATATGTAATAATAAGACACAACCACTATAACAGCAGATTTTAGTACAAGTTATATGGGCATGTTTTGTGGGTTTTTTTTTTTTCCTTTCTCTCAACTGCCACAAGGCAGATAGCATTTACAGAAAGGATATACTGGGGAGAGAAAAAAAAAAGAGAGATGATTTGTATCACTGAGGGCCAGAACAGTGATTTAAATTTCTAAGTTAATTTTAACTCTAAGTTAATTTTAAACATTGCTTAACTCTGGAATTTTCTACAAATATTTTCAATCGTGACTGAGGGCCAATGAAGCCACAGAAAATAATAATATAGACATAGATAATACTATAATACTATACTATCATATTGTCCCTGTGGAACAGATCAGGAAACTGAGTCACAGAGGTAAAAATCATCAGTGATGATTGAAATATGTGATCAATAGAGGCATGGCTTTGAAATCTCAGAATTGGCCTGCTAGATACATTCTTGTCAAAATCCAGGTTGCTAACTTTAAAATTCATGATTTATTTTCAGATGTTAAAATTACATCTAAAATCTTCCAGACCTCCCTTAAGCTAGGAGTTTCCTATTCATAATTTCCCAAAACCCCATGAACTATATATGAAAAGCTGCCCTAAGGTGCTCATATGAGAAAGCAAAGTGAGCGTTGAGACAGTGCCTATGTTCAAGATGCATATTCCTGATAGCTGCGGATGTTCCCAGCATCTGATGTTCTATGTTCACTCAGGATGCTTTTAAATCACTGTGTGAACTATTAACAAGGACCTTATAAATAACCACCTTGCCAGACAGAGACAAGATGCTATTCTAGCTATGTGTAGCCACTTCACAGTATATACCATTTCAGGCTGTGTGATTTTTAGGATCTGTTCAGTCTAAAATTTCACAATTTACCGCTGTGTCAGTAACAATATAGATTCCCCAAATAACAATCTAATAGCTCAAGGATGTTACAGTTCATGAGTCATCAGTAAGATATTACTTTTTCATAAGGAAAATGGCATGGGTCCTAACAGTTCCACGGGGCTTTAACTCAGGGCCTGGCCACTGTCTTTCCCTGAGCCAATCTGTGCTCAAGGAGCTCTACCTCTTGAGTCACAGTACCATTTCCTGAAATAATGTTTTAAAGAAATTAAAAAACAAATTTAGTTGATGTTGACAAGCTGATATCATCTTCCATGGAGGAAAAAATTACTCCATTCTGACTATCCTCCTAGCAGTCTAAGATATACTGAAAATCCTGAAAACGAGGGAAATAAAACTTAAATGACAGTATCAGAAAGAAGTAATAGCCAGTAAACCCAGAGCAGGGCTGCCCTATAAATCACCAGTAGCCAGACTTCTTTGGACTCCTGCGATGTCTCGTGCAAAGCCTGGAGCCCTTCAGTCCCATAGACAGGCAGAGGGACAGATTCCTAGGCCAGCAGGGGACAGGCACACAGAACCCACTCAGAGACAAACTCAACTTTCTGTTGTAAATGTGAGGCAAGCTTCCTGATAAAACCAACACTAAGTCCAAACTCATACTCATACAACAGAGCTGTGGCTGCAGAGGAAAGTAAACCCACAAAGAACTTTCCACCTGCTCAGAGGCAGACTGGAATACCCAGCAACGTGTCAAACACAGAGCCTAGAGAGTAGATGCTAGGGATAGAACAGTAAATCCCTAGAGCAATGGAATTGAAAGCAAAATGCTACAAGCAACTCATTATTAAGCTAGCAAGTCAGAGAAGGTGGAGGAGAAGCCTGGAGTGCAAAGGTGATCTGGAATTTTCAGAGATGTGCAAGGAGAAATAGCATCTTGCCTGAGAAGGCGATAACAAGGATGGGGCAGGACGGCCAGTTCAGGAATGAAGATGGGAAAGAACCAATGCACAGTGAGCCTTCACATCATGTCCTAGCCAGAAAGTGGGACAGACATAGTGAGAAATGTGGCTGAAGTAAAAGCAAAGGACCATCTACAAGCAGAATACAGAATGTGTGCTCTAGTCTAACACAGACATAGATGTCATAGATGGATGACAATGACCAACCCGTGATCTGAGGATGTCACAATGCCAGTGAGATGCAATGGACTGGACTGGGGCAGAGAACAAGGATCAAAAGGAGCTTACACTACTCAGGGCTTGAACCTGGCTAATCCATGGTGCTGCATAACTTCCAGGGGCCAAACACACTACTGAAGTCTAATTTGAGATCTAGTGTCAAGGCCCAAAGGACCAAGGTCTGTCCCAGCACTGGACATCTTTGATCTCCAAGTGGTTACCCATCAACTCACCCACGGCTCTGTGCAGACTCTGCACCAGCCATTGGTGTTTCTGTCCTCCTCTTTCTAAGTCCATTTCCTTGTGCTGTCCTTCCTGCCTGGTCCCTAGTGATTCCCAGAGTCCTACATATTCCACCTCCCTAAAGTTTTTGTTTTTTTTAGCTAATTGTTACCACTTGGTCTAAGTCATCATTTGTCTGAAAGGCTACAATACCCTCCCTTATCTACCCTCCTTCTTCAGTCTATACTCTTCCCAATTGCACTAAAGTGATCTTCCCGCCCCCTCCCCCAAAGAAAAGATAAACTTTATCAGGATAAACCCTCTACTTAAACCTTCTGCTTTTTGGAGTAACATCAGAGTCTCGACCACAGTCTTCAGAATCTGGCTCCCAATAAATTTTCAGCACCCCATTCTCGCTCCTGTGCTCTACCATAGCTTCCTCTTATGGCAAGCTCCTTCCGCATTCGGGAACTCTGATCCTACTGTGTCACTACTGAACACCCCCACCTTATGTCAGAAATGCATGACTGCTCAGCTGGAATGCCACCTTCTGACACTAGTGGCCCACTGCCATAATCTCATAGGAACTTGTTCTCCTCCAAAATTGTACTTTAAAAAAAGTACAAAGAACTTAGCAGTGACCAGTTTGTTGTAGGTACATCCTGATCAATGTCATCCCTTCTATCATTCTCCCCCAACTCTTCCAACCTCACCCACCTTCTCAATTTTCCTAGTTCCGTTTTCACACATATACACTGACTATTAGGAATGCATCTGCCCATGCTTCCCCCCCATCCCTCCCTCCCTCCCTCTCTGTCCCTCTCTCTCTCTCTGTCTTTCTCTCTCTGTCTCTGCCTCTGTCTGTCTGTCTCCCTCTGTCTGTCTCTCTCTCTCTCACATGCATGCTTCCTTCTTCCTTCCTCCCATCCTGGATCTTGGACTCAGGGCCTCCCTCAGCACTGTCCCTGAGCTTTTCTTGGCTTAAGGCTAACACTCTATCACTTTGAGCCACAACTCGACTTCTGGCATTTTTGCTAGTTAACTGGAGATAAGAATCTCAGACACTTTTCTATCTGGTGTGGCTTCAAATCACAAGCCTCAAATCTCAGCTTCTTAGGTAGTCAGGATTACAAGAGTGAGCTAATGGCACCTGGCTTAAATTTTATTTATTTTTACCACACTTGGCTAAAACTACGTGTGATAAATCCGCAGGTAAGGCAGGCTCACTGTATTTCCCAATCATGGAGCAGCACCTAAGTTCTTGAGAAGCTCTCAGCCCTCTTGCTATCAACTCTAAAGAGTCAGTCCCCAAGTCCTTCATCTGGAACTGCTCAATCTCCTTGACACCTGGAAGTATCTGTTCCTCTATGGAACTGGATCTCCCTCTTTGTAGTGGACATGTGTACATGCTAATCTATATAGACAACCAACTCGGGAAGGCAATGGCAGTTGCCTGGTTCCTTCTTACAGCTTCTCTTTACACTTCCCCTCCAAGAAGATCGGCAAGCATATGTACTGCTGAAAAATCATACATCATCAAGTCATAAAAGGAAAATATACAAGCTGGTACTTACTTGTTTCTGGTTGGGTTGCTTTCTCTTTCTTAGCACCACTGCCACTGGGGTGGGATCGTTTTCGGATCATGGACATGAGAGATCTTTGGGAGGAAGACAAAAGATCAACAGCAGATCACTGGAGGTCTCTCAGTCAAACAGATAAAATGCAGATTCCAAATCATCAGTAGAAATCCAACTCTCCTACAGGCTAATAAATTTAAGTCATATGCTATCCATTCTTGGTAATAGTAAATTTTTGATGATCTTACAGGAAAGAAATAGCTCACCTCTCTTGGTATAAAACTAATATTCAGTAGAGGAAATACAAAGCAAACAAGTTTTGTTGTTGTTGTTCAGGTACTAGAGCTTGAACTCAGAGCTTCATACTCTCACTTGGCTTTTTTTATTTTTCCCTCAAGACTAGTACTCTAGTAGTACACTTGAACCATACCTCTATTTCCAGCTTTTTGTTGATTAATTGGAGATTAACCAAAAGTCTCACCAACTTTTCTGCCTGGGCTGGCTTTGAGGCAGAATCCTCAGATCTCAGCTTCCTGTATAGCTAAGATTACAGTCAAGAGCTAGTGTCCGGCTTTGTTTTATATTATTTTAAAACTGCACATGAGTGTGTACATTTCTGCATACATGTTAACATTTCCACTATAAAAAGTTCACAGCAAACAAATGCATTGAGAATGCCTGAATTCGTTCAAACTGTATTATAAATGCCTTCAATGTGGTGAACTCTATTGGACAATACAGCCCCTAAGAAAGACAACTTGGGAGGCTGGCAAAGAAAAACGTATACTTAAGTGGTAGGAAAGTATCACATTATCTTTCAAAAAAGGAACAAATGAATATATTAACATTGGCTTGGAAAACACAGCGAGCTGGTATAGCTATTCATTGTCCATCTACCCATCCATCGATCCATTCATCTATGTATCCGACCTATCTGGTGCTAAGCGTCACAAATGCTAGGCTAGTTAGTGCTCCGTTACAGAGCTACACCTGCCGTGCTCAGTGTTTTCTTAATTCCTATAATTTTTAGATTTAAAAACTGTGTTCATTTCAATCTCTGGTTATATTACTCATCGCCTTTCAGTTGTCTTTTCTAAAAATTGTCACACACACTGAAAAAGCTCTTCCACAATGCACAGGAAAAAGAAACCACCACACTCTAGCCCCTCCTCTGACATCTCTACGCCTTTCCAACTGGGAGACAATTCACCTTGAAGCTGAGTCCGTCTGGTTTATCATCTCTGGACTCAAAGGGTGGACAAAATGGAAATAATCATTTCTGCAAAAGCTAGACACTGGAATCCACACAAAACTTTGAAAAACAGAAATGAGAAACTGTAAACCTCATTCATTGATTTTTTTCCATTCAGTCAACTGAATGACTAACATGGGAAGATTCCGTATCTACTCATCACCATGTCTGGCAGGGTGGGTTTGGGGACATTCATACAGATCAGAGGCCTCTCCTCAACCTGTCACTATATTCTATGGAACTGGCTCACCTATGGTTCTGAGAGGAAATTCTGAGAGCACACATTCTTGTATACAAAGGTGATGAGGCCAGAATTTATCTGTGCTGCTCAGTATTTATATGAATTTTCATATGTGAGGTAACAATTATGTGTCCATTACTGTAAATTGCCTAAGTAGATGGCAGAAAATGTTTCCCTAAAATGTTCTGAGTTGAAGCAGAAATTGGAGACAAGTGGCACCCAGAGAAAAATCACCTACTGTATTAAAAAGACCAATTGTCAAGACAGGGCTTAGTTTGTATCAGTACACCCCATGAAGTTTGCACAACAAAATCATCAAATAAACTATTTCTCAGAACACATCACATGACTGTATTTCTATGTACTCAGATCTTACACAGACATCTTGCAGGCTCTGTCCCCACGACCTACACTTGCTTCACAACAAAAATGACTAAGGCATGCTTTATTCCTCTCTTTCTTCTCTCCAACCTGTTGTTCCCTGAATCAAAGGAGTGGGAAATCCTGAGTAGCAACAAAGCCACGCAGAGAAGCCCTACAGTTGTCTCGATCTTCTCTCCACCTGCCACTTCCATTTCTAGTCATTTCTATTATGGACCTAAGGGACATTAGGGAAACAATATGTGGGTTAGGAACAAGTTGGAAAACCTTGCCTAGTGGGCTCAAAGTACACCAAAACTCAAGATATTTCTTCACATGAAAGTATTCTCACCAGAAAATATACCCCATATGATTTAAATTTATGTTAAAAATAAAGCTATTCATCTTGTTCAAGAAAAAAATTCTTCAAAGAGCCCTATAAAAGAGTTCATTCTTGAAACACACATAATCTTCAATCTTACACTGATTGCTCAGTATAATGGTAAAGTACTCTTTGGAGGAAAATTCTATTTAGGTTTTACTTTACTTTTAATTCTAGGGGCTCTCAACATTTCTGAGCCTAAAAATTAAAGGCCAACAGCAAGGTTGTAATTGCTTTTTAACAGTTCTCCCTTCTTACAGAAGTGACCTTTCTTATTAGCTCAAAATTCTACACCTTCAAGAGAGATCAAAGTGGTGACTTTCCCATTTTAAATGTCAAATTTAGACTATCGCCTACAGATTCAGCTACCCAGGAGAGAAAGAATTTTAAAATACCTGAAATTCTTTCAATTGACTCTTGGATCGATCACGTGTAAAAATGATTTAGTCTTAACTACTTCAATGGCTTCAAGTAGATTATGTCATACCCTACTCAGTGAGGAACAGTAATGAGAATCTTTTTGAAAGGCAAAGTCCCATTTTCCTAGTCGTGTGGGAGGAACATGCTACACGTTCTATTCAGATAGATCAGCAAAGGTGCAAAGCATGAATAAATGGCCTCTCTGCATGAAGGGATTAAACAAATCACATGAGTTAATGAAAGCTAAAAAAAAATAAAGCAAAAGTTTAAATGCCATTTGTTCAAGAATAAGTTATTCAAAAGCAGCTAACATCCTGACATGAAGAGGTTAAGTGGTCACCAGAAGAAGCAGGTGGTCCTTGTAGATCTAGGTGGGGTTATGTCAAACCACAAAGAAGGCAAAAATGTGACACTAGATCTCCCTGGAGGATGCTGTGCTCAAGTGAGTAAGACCACCAGGTGAGTCAGGCTTGGGGAAACTTTTGTTCCTGTTGGCATAGATGATTTCCTTTCCCAAGAACTTAAGCATCATTGATTTCCTCATGGAAGGTTCCTCTCTCAGCATTCATCAAGGTTTAAATACAAGGATAAGGATGAAAATAATTAGCACTTTCAGTTTAATTACTAGTTTATAACAATTAGTAGGTTTAGGTTTTAATTTGCTGCTTTAATTTTTAAAAAAACAAAATGAATCAACTAGAGCTTTTCAAATTCAAATTAGTGAGAGAAAAAGATAAAAACATTCTAGTGACATTCAAAAATCCCCTTGATGTGCTTGTTCAAAGCAATCCTCACAGTATATCCACGCTTAAAAAAAAAAAGTGCCTAGTTTTTTTTGAGGGTGGAGTATCCACATAGAAGCTCAAGGTCTACCAGAGATCCCACAGGAATTTCCTTGCCAAGTGTTTTTGAAGGCCCCTACTGCATATATTACGAGAACAGACAGAGACATCTTCTGAGAAGAAAACACAAGTTGCTATCTTTTTTTTTTTTTTTGCGCTCATGGGGCTTGAACTCTGGGCCTGGGCACGGTCCCTCAGCTCTTCAGCTCAAGGCGAGCGCTCTACCACTTGAGCTACAGTGCCACTTCTGGTTTTCTGGTGGTTTATTGGAGATAGGAGTCTCACAGAGCCCGGGCTGGCTTTGAACCGCGATCCTCAGATCTCAGCCTCCTGAGTAGCTAGGATTAGAGGCATGAGCCACCAGCTCCCGGCTCTCAAGTTGTTATCTTTGATGCTTTCTCACAGTTCGTTCCTCTAATGACATATCCTAAGCTGGTGCTGGAAAGGCAAGGCCAGTACCGCCCCTGGGGCTCCAGCCTGTGCTTACCGGATAGGATTGGGAGGCGGAGGGGGAAGTGGCGGAGGTGGAGGTGGAGGCGGAGGCACCGAATTCTCAGACTGGTTCACTCGCTTCTGGAGTTCATCCACTGCACAGGGAACAAGCATTCGGAAGAGAAGAGAAATAAGCAACTTTTACATGTGTACAAGAAAGAAAGAAAAAAACATAACCTCTCTCAAGATCAAGTGCTTCTTAGGAAGGCAGAGTTGGGCATTTCCATATGAAACTGTAGCATTTCAGACTTAAAAAGAAATCGAGTCTGTCATTAATGCAAGAGAGGTTTTTTCCATCTGTTTCAGTATAACATGACGATCATTTTCCTACACAGACAACCTAGGAAAAAGAATGCAAGACAATGGCTAATGGGTGGAAAGTTAGATTTGAGTAGGCCGAAGAAATATTTGTAACAACAGAGTATACTACTCAAACACTAAGATATTGTCAAGACTTGACTTGAAAAGCGTAGAGACCAAGAATGACTTTTAAAGATGACATTTAGTGATGAATTTTAATAGCTGCATACTTCTCTCCACTGTTTAATTTCCTTCACCAACTACAAATACTAGGAGTCTTTTATTTTAACTAGGCTTAAATTCCTAAAAGCCTGTAACTCAAAAGCTTTCTCTTCTTTTGAAGAACATTCTAGAAACAGAATTTGCCCAATCAATGAGACAGACATTACTATACACCCACAATGCTGTTGGAGACACAGTATAGATCCTGACTTCGAGATCAATTTAAATGTACGCCACAGGGCTTGGGGATGTAGGGAATAGAGCCCAGGGGCCCAGCTTGCCTAGAACGCACAAGGCTCTGGGTTCAATAACCAGCATGGCAAAAGTTTAAAAACATTTAAAATGCTATTTATCAAACTTCATTCCAGAAAATAGAAACATGTTTTGTGGTGGTGGCTGTTGGTGGTGTTTGCTTTTGCTTTTGGGTTGTTTTAAGGGGGGACAAAGGGAGGACACAGAGAGAGGGAGGGACCATGAACAAACGCAATTGTGCTACTCAGTATACACTATGTGGAAAATTGTGGGCAGGAATGAGAGGGGGAGCCTGGGGGAAAGCAAAGGAAGGGGTAACAGTATCAAAAAAAAAGAAGAAATGTACTCATTACCTGACTTAGGAAATGGTAACCTATCTGTATAACACCTCAATAATAATAAGAATGTATTCATTAAAAAAAAAAAAACCTCTTGGGGCTGGGAAGGTGGCTCAGTGGTAGAATGCTTGCCTTGCATGCATGAGGTCCTGGGTTCGATTCCTCAGCACCACATAAGCAAAAAGAAAAAAGCCGGAAGTGGCGCTGTGGCTCAAGTGGTAGAGCGCTAGCCTTGAGCTAAAGAGCTGAGGGGCAGTGCCCAAGCCCAGAGTTCAGGCCCCACGACTGGACCCCCCCAAAAAACAAAAAAAAAAACCTCTTTAATATGGGCTAACAGGTAACAGGTGCCAAATGCTGTTTGTCCTCAGAGTAGCAAACAAGCTGACCTGTTTGCTATGGCAGCCCCAAGCCAGTGTGGGCAAGAATCCTCCCTTTAATTCAAAAACATATATTTGTTGCTCCAGAGATTCAGAGATCTTTGGAGACAAAAGGCATGCTACTCTTTATCTATTTCTGACTGTACACCAAAGTAGGGCTGGGGACTCTCACAGCAGATTCTAAACAAACACACTCAAATCTGAAATGTCTGCTGCTTTCAGTCATGAGATAGCTTTGGCTTCAAGCTCCTCTGATACTGGCAAAAAAAGAACAGAATGTTCCTTAAAATTAGCTCAATTATCCCTGGGTGGGGGCTGGGAGAATTAGCTCAATTAAGCAGGGAGCTGGTGGTTTATGCCTGTAATCCTAGCTACTCAGGAGGCTGAGGATCTGAGGATCACAGTTCAAAACCAGTCTGGGCAGGAAAGTCCATGAGACTCATCTCCAATAAACCACCAGAAAACCAAAAGTGGTGCTGTGGCTCAAGTGGCAGACTGCTTGCCTTGAGCTGAAGAGCTGAGGGACAGCGCCCAGGCCCAGAGTTCAAGCCCCATGACTGACCAAAATAATTTTTTTTAATTAGGTCAATTAAAAAAGTATAATCAATTTTCACTGTCAATTAAAAAACATTAAAAAATTTTAAAATCACTTGACAGGAGTACTGTTTGAACTCAGGGTATCACACTTGGTAGGCAAGAGCTCCACTATTTGAGCCAGGCCTCCAGCTCTTTGGGCTTTGGCTACTTTGGGGCCCTGCTTTTTTGCTAGAACAAGCTTGAACTGCAACCCTCCTATTTATACTTCTCACCGAAGCTAAGAAATTGCCCCACCCTGCCCAGCTTTTTATTGGCTGAGAGTTCTCATAAAAATTTTGCCTCGGTTAGATTTGACCCAGGATCCTCCTAATTTCTGCCTCCCAATTTCTGCTCTGCCAACCGACTACAGGCATGCAGCAGCAAGCCTAATATCTGAATATACTTGAAAGGGGAGGAAAAGCCTCCAAAGGTTCTTCTGAACAGATTTCAAAATTCTAGTATAAAATTAACCAAAAATGTCTGACGTGAATATTGAAGCTGTTATAAAGGGAATGTACCTGCCTCCAGAAATGACCTGCCTTCCCACCAAGACTTATACTTAGGCCTGTGTAGTAATCCAACTCACACATTCCCACAATGAATGAATAAAGCCTTTGATTTAAGCATCCCTGGTGTTTCAAAAGTTTTTCCATTTAATATATATATATGTATATATGTATATATATATATATATAGTTGCCCATTACATTGTTAGGCATGACATAGGAAGTATTATTTCATGGGTATAATTACAGGCAAAGATGGAGTGTGAGTACCAAAGACGAAGGTATTATAAAAAAAATGACTTGATTTCTTTTAAAAGTGTGCTCTAAAATGAACAAAACAGAGTTCTTTATTGTATGAATGCCTCTGAAGGCCTGAGAATGCTGACATTTTTTTGTCTTCCCATGCTTCTAGCACCTTTGTGTCTTAATACTGTATATGTGTTCACAAAGGCCTTATGTCCCCCCAAAAAAGAAGGAGCCTGACTACTTGTGAATCAATTGATGACCGAAGCTTTTCTTCTTTTTTGTTAACAATGAAGGAACTTAAATACAAATGTTGGTAATTTCCTATAGCACTCAGTACTAGCTATATGCCAGGTTTTACCCTGGATAGGAGAGATTTACCGGTGAGTGATTAAGATGTAGGAAGTACTCAATGCTTTTTACCAGAATGCTTTAAATTCCTGGCCTTCTCTTCAGAACCCTGGTATTTTGATTCCAATTCTTTCTTGTCTTCTTCTAGAAGCTCTAGTTGCTGTTTGAGGTTATGTATCTCCTTGTGCAATGTTTCATTTTCCAGCTGCTCCTCTAATTCTTTGACCTAGAGGTTTCACACAAACTTTAGTAGGGTGATAAGTTGTCCTTTGTCCATGACAAGAAAAGGGAAAAATATCTTTGACATCATTCTCACAGCAGAAAAATTCTAACAGATCTTAAAATCATACAAATTATGAATACAGACAATCCTTACGATCACTGTCAGCTTCTTGATTTAAGTAAATAAAATAAAATGACTAAAATAATGACTAAAAACTCACTTAAAACAGATTGTTGGGCCCCAGTGGTTCACATGTGTAATCCTAGCTATTCAGGAGGCTGAGAACAGATGATCATGGTTTGAAGCCAGCCAGAGCAGGAAAGTCTGTGAGATTCTTATCTCCAATAACCATCAAAAAGCCAGAAGTGGAGCTGAGACTCAAGTGGTAGAGTGCTAATTTTGAGCACAAAGGCTCAGGGACAGTGTCCAGGTACTGAGTTCAAGCCCCAGGACCAGCACACACACACACACACACACACACACACACACACACACACCAGCACACAAACACACACACACACACACACACCAGATTAATACTTC